TTTGGAGGACCTGAGGAGACCAGATGTTGAGGGTTTGGAGGACCTGAAGAGACCAGATGTTGAGAATTTGGAGGACCTGGGGAGACCAGATGTTGAGGGTTTGGAGGACCTGACGAGACCAGATGTTGAGGGTTTGGAGGACCTGACGAGACCAGATGTTGAGGGTTTGGAGGACCTGACGAGACCAGATGTTGAGGGTTTGGAGGACCTGACAAGACCAGATGTTGGAGGTTTTGGAGGACCTCAGGAGACCAGATGTTGGAGATTTTGGAGGACCTGAGGAGACCAGATGTTGAGGGTTTGGAGGACCTGGGGAGACCAGATGTTGGAGGTTTTGGAGGACCTGAGGAGACCAGATGTTGGAGGTTTTGGAGGACCTGAGGAGACCAGATGTTGGAGGTTTTGGAGGACACGTTGTCCCATTCTTGTCTGTTGGAGGATTCTAGCTGTTTCAACTGTCTTGGATGGAGCAGATCTTCTAAAACCTGTAGATTATTTTCTCCATTGCTGGAGTCTTTCCAGATGTGTAAGCTCCTCGTGCCAGAGGCACTAATGCACCCACATACCACCAGAGAGGCTGTCTTTGACCTGTGTGCTGATGACGGACTGCATGTTCCTTCTCAGAGGATGTTGTCCCCATGGTTTCAAAAAAGGACCTTAAGTTTGGACCCGTCTGACCTCAGAACAGTTCTGGACTTCACCTCAGTCCATTTGAAACGAGTTCTGGTCCAGAGAAGACCGCAGCGGTTCTGGATGGTGTTCACTTCTGAGTTCTTCTTTGCCTGATAGAGCTTTAAGAAGCATTTGTGGATGAACTGTGTTTACAGACAATGATCTGTGGAAGAGTTCCTGAGACCAGAACCAGACCAGGTTTTAAAGTAGCAAGGTCCAGAACCAGACCAGGTTTTAAAGCAGCAAGGTCCAGAACCAGACCAGGTCGCTCATGAAGCTCTGCAGATCTGCAGCGGACAGTGAGGCAGGAAGTGTTTTATAACACACGCTTATCGGACACGGCAGGTCAAGACGACCTCGGCGTCCCGGCTCGGAGGCGTCCTTGGAGTCAGGTGCTCCTTGCAGGCTCCTCTCTGAGAGGAAGAACAAGTCTCTGAACTCACACACATCCATAAACCTTCACAGCTCCCCCTGACAGCTCCAACATCACGACCTTCAGCCTCGTCCTTTGAGCTCAGGGGTTTCTTCAGATTATGACCTGGAGATGATGGAGATTCATTCAGGAGCCAGACCGCTGAACCTCTGCCCATCTTCACGTCTGAACTGCTCCGACCTGTGGATAATTTAGTTTTTACAAAATGCTCCTCCAGCTGTGATGTTTCCACTTTCACAGCCGTTTGTTGCTCCGGTCCTGTCTTTGAAAGACGTGTTGCTGCCATCAAATTCAAAGATTATCGTTTAGAGTTCACGCTGCGTCCCGCAGAACTCACCGAACGACCAGACGTCCGACTTGCTGCTGTATCTTCTGTAGTTAAGGACTTCGGGCGGCGACCACTTCACTGGGAACAAGACGCCCAACGAGCAGGTATACTGGTCGTCCAACACGTACCTGAACAGGCAGCAGGTAAACGGTTTACACCTGAAGGCTCGTTTAAAAGCAGCAGAGACCGGAGCCACACTCGTACCTGGCCATGCCGAAGTCGGACACCTTCACCGCCAGAGCCTCGTTCAGCAAACAGTTCCTGGCAGCCTGCAGAGAAAGCAACAAACATCAGCTAGAGAAAAGCCGTTTCCTGGGAAACTGCAGCGTGAACGCTTAACGCTGAGTAATTATTGCTGAAAGCAGGAAAATAAGAGTAGAACGCAACTGAACAACAGCCGAAATGTGCTAAATAAAAGCCGAATGTAGCAGAATAAGCTGAAATAGGTAAAGAGAGGCTGAAAATATTATAAAAAAAACTGAAGTTAGCAACAAAAAGGTTCAAATTAGCAAAAAAAAAAAAAGTAGCTCAGAAAAGCCTAAATTAACAGAAAGGTGCAGAAAGACGCAAAAAAAAAAAAGAAGCTGAAATTATATATTTTTTAAAAATGGCCAAAATTAGCAAAAAAAATTAAAATTAAAGTGAAATCTCTAAAAAGTAGATGAAAAACAGTAAAAAGTTTAGTTTAGCAGAAAGAAGCTAAAATGAGCCGGTTTTTTAAAAAACAGCTAAAACAGGATGTGGAGCTCCGTTCATTTTCAAAGAGGCTGAAAAAACTAAACGTTCCAAAAATTACAAACTGCACAAACGTCAAAGGTCGGAGCAGGGATGTCCCGAAGGAGCTGAACGTCTTCAATTCAACCTAACTTTATTGTCCATGACATTCATGACATGGAGACGTTCACATCTGGCTCATACGAAACAAAACGAGTTAAAAATGTCGTGAAACCTTTAAAGTCTTTACTAGAACATTCAAACTTCTCGGCGGACGGTGGTTTGTCATGTGACGCTAAGTTTCAATGGACGCTCAGCGGCAGCAGCAAACAACTTTTTGTTCCCATTAGAGGAACCCCCCACCAGTCAGGCAGAGAGCTGGGAGTAGAACCAGCAACCAGGGCCACATCATCAGCATACTTAATGAGCGCAGTCTTCATTTTTGAGTTGCAACTCATTTGTGCATGAAGAGAATGACAGTGGAGATAGCACTCAACCCTGCGGAACACCAGCCAGCACCCTGCAGTAGAGTTACTGGCACAGACTGGTTGAGGTCTTTGTCTCTGATCCTCAACTCAAGATGGCTGCCGACCATCACACAGGCCTTTCAAAGAAGATGTGGCTGAACCGTAGTAACAGCAGACGAAAGGTCCGCGAATAATAAAACGTCTTCGGGTTGTCCAAGTGATTATGGACCTTCATGAGGAGGGAGCGTTCGGCCCCTCGGTTAGTCCCACAGGAAAACTGCATGTTCACCAGGCGCTCCGGACACGTGCACGATAAGGATGTGAGGGTCAAACCATTCGGAGCTGCACGTGTCGTTTTGGGCACGGGGACAATGGTTGAAGGCAGGACTAAAGAACAAAGGGTCGAACATCTGTTTGAACACAGGACCAGCTGTGCGGCACATTCCTCTAATCCCATCTGGCCCAAACGCTTAATGACGACTGATCTTCTGAAGCATGAAGTCACGTCCTTCACCGGCAGCTCCACAGGAGTTGGAGTCGAGGCTGCACAGAAACAATCTCCACTGAACTCGTAACTCTTGAGGAGTTTGGTTTATTTGAGGCCACGAGGGTCAACGGGAGGAAGGGACTCTTTTTGTTTCCCCATCACTCAGTTCCCTCTCAGCCTTTATACTTGATCTTTTTCATCACTATATCAATCATCAATTCTCTGCTTCCCTCACCTTCTGCCAAGCTCCTTTAAGAGCTTCTTTCTTTTGGTTCAGAAGAAACTTCATCTCTTTACTGACCCGAGGTTTGTTGTTTGTTCTGGTTTTGAGAAGCGGTGATGGTCGAGTTCAGCAGCTCAGCGTTCTTGGCAGAGACCTCCTCACTGGAGAACATCAGCTCATCAACAGTCCAGCACTGAACGTTCTCAACAACGAACTTCTCCCTTTTCGGTTTGTGCCGATGTTTTGGCGTCCGAGCTCAGGGGTAGAGGGTAAGGACGATGGATACCGTCATGGTGTCAGTGTTTCTGTGACGGTATCTGCCCAGCTGTTCTCCACAAACAACCCCCCGCCAAAGCTTCGGTCCGTTCGCCGATTGTCTGTCGAGACCAGCTGTTGCGTATCCCTCCACTTCAGCGACGGTATCGTTCACTGATTTGTGAAACTAATTGTTGAAACAAAAAGTCTCAGAACGAGTTACGTGCCAAGAACCATACGGAAGAAACACCGATCTCCACATTGAGACCGATTCAGAAGAAGCCTCTTTCAGGGTTTCACGTAAAAAAAAAGAGGTTACCAGGTCTCTGTGGATGAAGCTGTTGGCCTCCAGGTACTCCATCCCCTCGCAGACGTCCAGACACATACTCAGCAAGGACCCGGGGCTGAAGCTGCCCCGCCGCTGCCTGAGGAAGTTCAGCAGGCAGCCGTTCTCCATGAACTCGGTGATGATGAAGATGGGCCTCTTCTGGCTGCACAGGCCGTACAGCTGCACCAGTTTGGGGTGGGACAGCCTCCTGGAGGACGCACAACAACAGATGTGATGGTGTTATGGTGTTTTTAATATTTATATATAATTAAAAATACTCTGAAGTGACCTCTGGATCTATAATCTGAGTGGTTTACTGTAGTACTCCAGGACTGCCACTAGAGGGAGGCATAGTTTAAGATGAACATTTGTTTTCTTATTGCTCAGGACAGTGGTGAGACCAGCTATGTTGTATGGTCTGGAGACAGAGACATGGACAGAAAGACAGGAGACAGAACTGGAAGTGTCAGAAATGAAGATGTTGAGGTTCTTCTTAGGAGAGACAAGGATGGAGAAGATCAGGAATGAGCTCATCAGAGGTACAGCACAGGATGAACAACTGGGAGAGGAAGTTAGAGAGGACACACTGAGATGGTTTGGACATGTCCAGAGGAGGGACAGTGGTTTGGACATGTCCAGAGGAGGGACAGTGGGTATATTGGTAGAAGGACGTTAGAAATGCAGCTGCAGGAAAAAGACAAAGAGGAGACATATGGATGCAGTTAGAGAGGACATGTTGGAGTGAGGACAGAGGACAGAATGAGACAGAGGACTCGCTGTGGAGACCCCTGAAGAGGGAAAAGCCAAAAGAAGTTCTGTCGCCTCATACTCAGATTTCTCTAACAGCCTAACTTTGATCTTCTCAGTTTTCTCCTCCTCACATCATGACCTTGGCCTCCTCGATGAAGTCCTCCTCTTGCATGGCCCCCTTCCTGATGGTCTTGATGGCCACCTTGTGCCGGGCCCTCCACTTGCCGAGCCTCACCGTGCCGTACTGACCACTGCCCAGCTCCTTCATGAAGGTCAGCTCGCTCGGGTTGATCTCCCACTTCTCTGGAGGCCAAAGAGGTCAAAGGTCAGGCAGCAAGCACGAGGGGGCGGTTCAGAGTAAAGATCCACTGTGTGTGGGCGGGGACTCACCGTAGCTGAACCCGGCTGTGGGTGGATTGGACTTATCGTGCGTTCCTACAGGATACCTGAGCCGGGTCATGAGACCTGGAGAGAGACGGGTTGGACAAATGTCACTGCTCCAGATGTCGGTCTTTTTCACATTATGAGACGTGTGTGCATAGGCATCGCTACAATTATATGTGAGGTGGACATGTCCCCCCCCCCCCCCAACATTAACTAAAATATTCGTTTGGACCCCCCCACACACACACACATTTACCATGAAATATTAGTTCTCCCAGTGCCGTTTCTATTTCTTCACGATTGAATCCATTCCACTTGATTAACAGGAGAACACTCAAACCACTAAACATCCACTCCGTGTTTTCCTGGTCACCTACAACAACTCACCACATGCAGCATTTCCTCCAGGTCCCTTGGCTTGGCAGGGTGCTGGGGGGGTGGAGACACCCCTGCCTTGCACACTAGCTTAGCACCATAGTTCTGGCAGTTGTTGACTGGGGTGGAGGTTAGGATGTGTGAGAGAAGCCGAGAGCTACGTCTGTAGCATTTTAGCTAATGCACCTGTATTGTGCGCCGCTAGCTTAGCGCTATGTTAGTGTCAGCATTTTTCAACGCAGGGTGGCTAGAAGGAGAGAAGTGGAGCGTGCTCTATTCACACAGGGAGAGCTGTTGGTCAGGGTACTTCTTGTTGCTCTAAAATAGTTATTGAATCAAGTGTTTACTGATGTAAACGTAGATGTTTAACAACCGTTAAAATACACCGGAATGCAGGAAATGGCTTCTACTTTATTCAAGTTTTTTTAGGGGAGGACCCCCAGACACGCACACCAGAGTGTCCCCCCCCCCCCCCCCACCCCACATTACAAATGCTTCTGACACTAATGTGTGTGTGTGTGTGTGTGTGTGTTACCCGCTCCGTTGTGTTTGTGGTACTCGATGAGCTCAGGGATGGAGGTGAACGTGTGTTTCTCAGTCAGGTAGTAGAGGACAGGTGAGCTGCGAGTCTCTTTTATTTGATAATGTTTGATGGCGGCCCCCGCCTCCCTGAAACAACACAGACAGATGAAGAACGACCTCCTCCTCCTCCTCCTCCTCCTCCTCCTCCTTGACTCAGACATCCGACCGTCCTCCCAAAGGGACAAGGAGGTTTTTTTATGGACATTTGGACAATTTGAGGTTTAAATGTTTCTGGTTGTTGCTCCTGAAGGTCGTTGTTTTTAGATTTTAGTCAAATAGAATAAAGTGAGTTAGCGCACGACTAAAACTGAAACTTTGTCATCAAAAATACCTTCAGCTGTTAAAAATACATCCTTGTCAGAAAGGAAGCTAAAAGGAGCAAATTGCTAGCTGAACGCTAACAAGACAACGGAATAAAAAAGCTAAAAGGAGCAGAACAATAGCTAAAAGCTTCATGGAGGGGAGACGTAACTAGAAGCTAAAAGGAGCAGTACAATAAGAACTAAAAGGAAAATTAGCTAAACTGTGGCTAAAAGCTAAAATTAGCAAAACAAAAGGTAAAATACAAAGGCCCAGAACTATAGCTAAAATATACATGGAGCAGAATGGTAGCTCTAAGCTTAAAGTAGCAAAACTGTAGCTAAAAGCTAAAGAGAAATATAATCTCAGACTTTAATTTAGCGAATTGATAGCTTAAAGTTAATGTAGTCAAATAATAGCTCTGACTAACCAAACATACAATACAACTTTATTTATTTATTTATTTATTTATTTATTTATTTATTTATTTACTGGTAACTTTAAAAACAACACTGTTGGCCAAAGTGCAAACATAAGCTAAAAGCTAAAATTAACTAAATCAGTAGCTAAGAGTAGCTAAAAGCTAAAATGATCAAAGTGGTAGCCCAAAACTGAAAGAAGCAAAGCCATAGCTAAACACTTAAATAAGCAAAAGTGTAGCTAAAAGCTGAAATTAGCACATTTATAGCTAAAAGCTAAATGAGCTGAAGATCCTAAAGCCCTGATTTTAACATCTTCAGTAAAACTGTCAGGCACAGAAAGACTCGAGACCTTTGACCTTCAGACAAACGAGACGTTTTAAAGAAGCCGGTCTGCTTGAGCTGTTCTACAGCTGCAACAACAGCCGAGTGTTTGTGACCGCAGCCGAAGACAGCTGAAGGTTTTTACCCCAAGGCAGACTTG